ACCCATCATAAAACCCCGATATTTAAACCCTACAGCCAATTCTTTCACGTTTATTTTATAAAGTGTCTGTCACATAGTATAGATTTGACTGTGTTTTTTTGCTTTCATGTTTCTAATAAATATTGTGGAAATTTTCAGTTGGATGGAATTATAATTTTCATTTTTCTTGAGGTTAAATTATAGGACACTGTATTTAGCTATTGGTCGTATTACAAGTCTTATTCAAGTAATTTCCTTCGCAACATATTTGAAGAAAAATTAGTTAACAAAGAGAGAATCTACATACAAAAGTTCAAGCATAATTTTTCTGTCACAAAATTCCAAATTAACAAAAGTGGAAAAATTAAAGGAAGTTCAGTTCTAAAAGAAGTTAAAATTTTTTAAATTATTATTAAAAGCATATGAGATGTAACGTAACACTGATATGGCCGAATTCTACTTTAGCGTTAACTAGATTTATACCTCGTCTTTTTTGTAGCATTTTTCTTTTACCCATTAAAAAACCATTAGCAATGGCAAAAACGGTTTCCAACTGAAATTTGAGTAAAATTAACAGAATTTTTCCTAATTTAAGTTAAACTCTATGATAGAGTGTTTTTTATTAAACATAAAGAATTTGTATATTCTATATCTCATTTAGTAAATTTAGAATGTACAAAATTAGAAAAAATATCCTTTAAAACGAAGGATTATATATGCGTAAGTATTTTCAATCATATAGTTCGATTTATTATCTTATGATTTATTCATTAGTAATTTTATTACGTTAATATAATTCATCATATTAGTTAATAACGATATTCTAATATTAATAGATAATGAAAAATCATTATTTTGAAAGTTTGTTTTTGGATATCAACAAATTTGCTGAAATAACTATGAAAGATTCAAATCAATTTCATGCTTGTTGTTTAGATACTTTTCCACCTAACTGAATCGGCTTTGTGGTTAATACAGCATTAGTACTTACAAATTACAAAGTTTTTTTGGTTAATTAAAGTTTGGAAAAAATTTTTTTGTTAAAAAAAAAAGAACTAGAAGGCTAGGGTTCTAATTCCCAATTTTGATTTGCTTATATTGCGAACGAAGAAGCTCGTTATTAAACATACACAAAAGATTGCATGGATCAGTTGGATCACGGTTGAGATTGATTCTCAATAATACTCATTATTAAGTGACGTGGTAGCAAAGAAGGCTTACAAGTTAAAAACGTATTTCAAATCCAAATTTTTATTTTTATTTTTATTATATGGACGTAGAATTGAGGGATATACAAAACATATAGATGCTAATTCTACATAAAGGAAAACCCCGGCGCACCAGTGTTAGTTTTTCTAAAAAAAAAAAAAATTAATCATGAAGAGGTGTAGGCAGGGACGTAATAGTTTCCGCGCGAGAAGTAATTGTATGATCTTCAGATAACGTGGAGTCGTCGGGAGGCGGTGTACGGCGAAGGAAAAGATCTGGGGGTGATAAAAGTTGTCAGTTTTGTGTCGAGAATTTATAAGTGACGTCAAGTGGTGTTATAGGATTTATATCCATCCGTACGTCGGTTATGTATCGATACCAAGCGGTGTGTTCTTTGTTCTTTGAACTTCGGAATATCTGATATTGCTGATATTGCTACAACCGTCAATCGTAGCAGCTACTAATATCCGGGTTAAAAAGGTCAATGTTCAATATTGTGAAAATCACGATAATACCAGAGGCCACCCCTAGTACCTGGAGGTAAAGGAGGTGAAGGGTTTTTCTTGTTTTTCTTTTCAAGTCGGCGTAACCAATTCTTCATTCTTTTAAATCCATCACGATGGCTGCCAAGCCGAAAACATGGTTGATGAAATATCCTAGTATGTATTTTTCCGGAACTTGTTGGACACATTTGATGATAGTCGGATTCAATTTGTCGTAAGGGTTTAAGACGGTGTGTTGTTTGAGGACCAAGTGCGTTGTTTGGAGTGTATCACTTGCTGTGGCTACCATTGCCAAAAAAAAAAGTCTTTGCTAGTAAGGTTTATTGAGTAATAAAAAAATTTCTTAATTCATCAGATAGTGGTGGTCCAAAGGAGTGAAAACGTGAGATTCGTCAAAAAAATCGAAGTAAAGGGGAAAAAATGGTCGACAGTTTTCAACATGGCAACTAAAAACAGTTCCTTGATACTAAGTATAACGCAACTAAAGACAGCAGTGACAGTTTGGCGAGTGCGAGTTTGCCGTTAAACTACGCATATGATTTACTTATATTGCGAACGATGAAGCTCGACTTCATTAGACACACACAAAAAACTACATGGATCAGTTGGATCACGGGATGAGATTGATTCTCAATGATACTCATTATTAAGTGACGTGGTAGCAAAGAAGGCTGACAAGTTAAAAACGTATTTCATAGCCAAATTTTTATTTTTATTTTTATTAAATGGACGTAGAACTGAGGGATATACAAAACATATAGCCCTTCCTTCGTTCTCCTTTCCCTTCCTTCCCCTTTTCCCTTCCTTTCACTTCCTTTCGTCCCTTACTTTCCCTTATCCTTGATGCCAATTCTACATAAAGGAAAAATCCCGGCGCGCCGGTGTTAGTTTTTCTAAAAAAATAATTTAATCATGATGAGGTGTAGGCGGGGACGTAATAGTTTCCGCGCGAGAAGTAATTGTATGATCATCAAATAACGTGGAGATCTATTTATCGTCAGGAGGCGGTGTACGGCGAAGGAAAAGGTTTGGTGGTGATAGGAGTTGTTCAGTTTTGTGTCGAGATTTTATAAGTGACGTCAAGTGGTGTTATAGGATTTATATCCATCCATACGTCGGTTATGTGTCGATACCAAGCGGTGTGTTCTTTGTTCTTTGAACTTCGGACTATCTTTTTCCGGAACTTGTTGGATACATTTGATGATAGTCGGATTCAATTTGTCATAAGGGTTTAAGACGGTGTGTTGTTTGAGGACCAAGTGCGTAAGGCAGTTCCATCGTTCTACTTGTTGTTTGGAGCGTACCACGTCGAAACTTAGCGAAGAGTATTCTTTGTAGTATAATCGGCGATAATTCACCGGGAGGTTTTCAGATCTGTTGTGAATTTCTTTAATGCCTTTGCCTTTTTTATTACGATTGACCGTGCGTCGGAGTTCTGTGCGTCGGAGTTGGTCGACGTAAAATCTCGCGTCCCGAGGTAAGTTTTATAAGGGAATTTTTTTTTGTGTAGATCATGTTCTAAGCAATACCATGTTTCAGAGTCAAATGAACTAATTTTATAGTTTTAATTTATATCTATAATCACATGTTTAGCCACATGCCAATCGAAGAAGTAGTGGACCGCAAGAAAAAAAATATGCAATTAGGAACGGATATCCGAACATTCGTATATTAGATTATTAAGTTCTTCGTTGCACTTCAGACTAATATTGGCGTACAAATAATACTCTTTGTCATTATTATAATAAACAAGTAAAGGCAAATTCCAAATTTTTTTTTCGTCTCCGTCTTTTCTTTTTTTCTTGAATGTCATGTCTCATTGAAGAAGTACTCTTCCTAATATTTAAGGGGTTAGAAAAATCCCTCTATTCATGTTTTCTGTGTCAATAGTAGAACTTGGTGTGAAACAGTGGTACCAATTTATAAAGAAATCTTCTGTTCAATATTTAACAAATAATTCAAGATTATATTATTCAATGTAATACTTTAGATATTTAGAATTAATCTTAATCTTATTACAAAAACACATCAACAGATATTTGGATTTATCGCTTATAAAAAATTTAATAAGTTGAAAATTCCAGCCCTATTATAAAAAATGAGGCATTAAAAGTTATTCATTAATAGAAGTTCAAAGTTTATTCATCTTTCTATCCCAACATCATATTCCATAAGATGAATGCTACTTTCTTACTTGAATTTTTTCATTGTTGTGTCTCTACCGATCCAAATTTAAAATTTACTGTTAATTTTGGTTGTACCATCACTAATTATGGAATCATTAAATTAATTGACAATTACTCAATTAAAAATATTCTATTTAAAATGAATCATTTGAGACATCTTTTGAAGAATCATTGATTAAACATGCAGATACAGATATTATCCAATACTTAATTGCTTTTAACGAGATTCAAAGGTGATGACATACTGTATATAATCTTATTATCCATCTATCATTTTACACTATAGATATTGTATGTTGTTTTATTTATTGAATAAAAAAATATAAATAAATAAATAATACACCACCACCACCACCATCACCACCACCGACATCCTATTTCACCACCACCACCACTACCGACATCCTATTTCACCACCAATTACACCATCTACTTCACACCACCACCACCGACACCCTATTTCACCACCAATTACACCGCCTACTTCACTACGTTTCTGTTTTATAAAAATTTTCGAATATTCTTAGTGGTTAAGTACTAGGCGCCAGTGTAATTAATTTTCTAATGTATAGTATTTACTATACTAATACATAATACTTTTAAAATATTTGGGAGCGCGAAGCAATTCTACTTTATAACGAAAAAAAATAATAAAATAAAAATTACCTGCTATTGAGATAATATTATATAATTATGTGAAACCATGTGATTTAATAAATGATCATTAGCTGGTTTTTATTATCTTCACGATTGATTAAGAAAAAATTTTTTAAAAAATGGAAGTATTAAGTCATTTATCCAGTTAGACAATTATGCATTAATGTTTTTTTATAACTCTGACCGATCTTGTAATTTTGAGAAAGATCCATATAATAGTTTAAGTATCTGTTCGTATTATTGTTTTTTTTAAAAAAAAAGAAAGGAGATAAATCCTAAAAATTCGAATGAAATATTTTGAATTTTCTCAAATCGTAATTAGAAAGATCATAGTATATTTTACAACAAAGCAATGAATGAATGTATCACCAAAAATTTTTAGGTATAAGAATTTATGGATATTGTAAGGGGTTGTATATATATTGGTTACCGTCACGAAGTGACGGTAACCAATGTATTAAAATACCACCGTACAATATGTTATCGATTAAAACTTATAGCATCGGATAAATTATCGTTGTTAGATAAGTTTTTCTGTTATGATTAGGTCTTACGATAATAATGGCATCATATTGCCACCCTCGTATGATACTATAATAAATTTTTTAAATTTGAATAGGGATCGATGCTTTATTATGGAATTTAGATTTACGTAAACATAAAACATTCCCTCCACTCGGCCAGCATATGTTCCCAATGAGCTAAAAAAAAATATAAAAATTTATTCGGTACATTTATAAAAAGAAATAATAATTATTGTAAACAACAAGTAAAAAATAAATTTGATAAACGAATAAAATTTTAAAGAAAACTATTATAAAACTACATAAATTGCGTGCCAGTATTTGACTGATCGGAATTTGGAAGTGTTTCGAACATAGAGGATAGAATAGAGGATATAGGAGGTAAATGAAGTTGATGAGAAATAGATGGTGCTCTCGGAGGTTGGGCTGTTAATTTAACTTTAAAATTAAAAGTTAATTTTCTTATCTCATGAATTTCATTAACGCGTTTGGCTATCGTTTTATAAACTTTTTTTTCTTCAAAAGTTGCATTGTTCCATAATAAAGCAGCTGCTTTGCTTATTACACGCATATTATAAGTTCCTTTTCCTTTCGCCTCTTTGCAAACATTTCGTCTGCATATTAAAAATGAATTAGAAGGCTTTCTTGATCTTCCAGTCGGAACGAATGATTCAGGATCATTGAATAATGGAGGAAAAATATTTTTCCTATTTAATTTCTCAATTAGAGATGTTGCCAAGAAATCGGTCGAAAATTTGATTTCTGCCATTTTAACGAGTTTGAAAAGTTTTTTGGGGATAATTTTATGAAATTTTATTTATTTATTTTTTTTTTTTTTGAAAAAAAAATGAAATAAATTTAGGCGCTTATATATCTATTTTTCGATAAAACAGTCAATGAGATTTATCATAACATCAAAGATATTTACAATAAATGACCCAGTCTACAGTGTTCTGAGATTTACGACTAATACTGCTTTATACCCAAAAATGGTTATGCGTAAATTAATTAAATTAATTAATTAAATTACTTTGTTCTTAATAATATATTCATTTAATTAGCTGTTAACCGATTAATCTATATATATATAGTATATTCGGAAGTTACCCAAACAAAATTTTATATATCTTATTTTGCGGACGTTAAACTCCTTTATAAAGAATCATTTTATTCTCTGTATGATTGGTTCAAACATATTGTTATTAAATTGTACTACCGTTTTATGGGATTTTTAAAACTAAATTTTAATTGGTTCCGTGCAGCAGTTAAAATTTAATAAAATTTTAACAAGAACAGTTTTTTTCAAAATAACAAAATTCGTAATAATAACACGTGAAACAATCAAACAATGAAGTGCGCAGAAAAGTACAGCATAACAAATATGATCATCAAGGGCGTATTTCGGAAATTTTTTTTAATTATGAAATTCTAAAAAAGGATTAACCAACAATGATTTAAAAATTTTTCATTATGCGCTTATTAACTGTTAAACATAGTTGGTACAAACATATATATGAAACATATCAAATAAACGAATAAACGTTTTGCATGGCTTTAGTAAATAAACTTCCCTAATAGGTTGATCAATTTTACTTGATCATGTTTAATTATTAACTACCATAAAAGAATGTTATATTTTTAAGAACTCCGATGTGTGCTTGGCGTTTTAGAATTGATCATCTGGTCATGTCATTTTGTTTTTTAATAATATGAACAAATTTAGTAAAATATTCTTCGCTTTTTAATTTACAGTTAAAATGATTTACTATTGTAAATATACGGTCAATGCGCAATAATTTATTATATACAACATTGTAAACACGCTTTAATTGCATATATTTGATAGAGTGAACAATGTTATATTACATTCAATTTTAAACTTTCAATTAATCTACTTTAAATAGTTTTGTCACATGGTTATTTTACAACCGCCGATGGACATTGTCATGAGTTTATATGCAGAATAGATGCTGGAACCGGTATTCGATCTTTAGATTTAAATCTGGTTTCCCCGATTTGAATTAAATTCGAATAAAATGAAGAAACAAATCTGGATACAACGAAGGAATCGGATATATAAATAAATCTGAAAATCTGAAAACTGAAGGATCAGTTCCTTCGTTTCATGAAGATCTTTAAAGATTTTTGTGTGAAATATTTTTAAAATCTGCAATTTTGGAGATTATCTAAGATTTTATAAAAAAAAATCTTCGAAAAAATAAAAAATATGAACTGTGCAATATTGCGCAGATTTTTACTAAAAATTGTAAAAAAAAATGCAATCTGCAATTTTCGAGGAAACCGGATATATTACAGGTTAAAATAACCCTGGTTTGAAACTCTAATTCGGAAATCTAAATAGTAGAAGAAAGTCAAATATCAAACATTTTGCTGCCAATATTTAAAATCGCGTTCATTTTCTTCATTGGAAAAACGCAAAATTCTGAAGATCAAATAAATAAAATAAAAATTTTTAATGAAATTAATGGACATATTTATAATATATAAAAAGTAATATAAAAACAACAAATTAAAAAAACGTTTAAAATTCTTTGTATGTGTGATTCCATAAATGCTATTGGTAATAAACTATATCATATCAATGTTTAATAGTTCAGTTATTACTATTGTATGATGCATTTGAAAATGTTTTAAACAAAATTTTATAACCAAATTTGTGTACACGTAAATTGCCTTGGAATATTAAATAATCATTTTATTCACTGCATAAAATTTGTTATAATTGTACTATAATGCTTTAAAAAATTTGCAGATTCTTGGCTGAACACATAACATAATTTTGGCCGGATGTCACGTGACGATTTCCTTTTTCGCGTTTTAACGACCGATGGAAAAGAGCTTCCATATGTTTGTTTTAGGCATATAAATGAATTACGCAAAAAAAATGCTGTATAACAATATGATCATCGGCGGCGTATTTTCATGAGACTTTTTAAGACATGAATTTCTGTAAAAGGAACGATTAAAAGTGATTTTAAAAAAAAAATATTCATTATAAAAATATGTTGTTTATTTTAATCTGATTATAGAATAATTGGTACAAACATATGTGAAACATAAAAATAAACAAATAAATTGTTGCATAATTTTAAAAAAATTTTTACAATGAATTTATTACTTATTAAGTACAACAAAAAAAAAATACTTTTATCAAAATTTTTAATAGGTTAGTCAATTTTTACTTGATTCTAATAGGTTTCAAATGATATTTTATTTAGTAATTATTTCATTTTTTAAGAACTCCGATGTATGTTGGCGTTTTAGAATTGGTCATTCTGTTATCTTTTGTTTGACAAATNAAAAAAAAAAAAAGTAAAAGTAAAATAAATAAAGAACCTAAAAAAGGCATCTTATCAAAGAAAAGAGTCAATGTGAACAAATTAGGTAAATTATTTCTTTTTTTTTCTTTAAAAAAAAAAAGGCTTTTTTTTTGAAAAAATAAAAATTGTATCACGCAATTTTGAACCTTTCTTCTACTTTATCACTATATAAATTTTTCGTAGATCGGGTATAGAGTTATGAAAGATTTACGGCGCAGTAATCAACCACGGTCGCCACGCAGATCATAATAACCTCTATATATCAATAAAAATATTTATAAAAAAATTATGTTAAATTGGATTATTCAATTATTCACTTTATAATCTATTAATAATTCTTAATTAATTATTTTATTTCTTATTATGCCGAAATCTATTTGGTTATTTTGCAATTATTGCAGTTGGACTGTTGGAAATTTTTAAGTAAATATCACATACTTACATAACTTTGCCCATTAAAATTGTATTATAATTTAGAATTTTTTTTTTTAAAAAAAAAAGGGGGGAGAAAATGAGTCGTACTTTATCGCGCATCTTTTTGCATAAAGACATTCTTTTTTATTTACATTTTTGGAATATTAATTAGCTAATGTGATCCCTTCCGTGACCCGCATTCGGAATTTTGATCCGAAATTCTTTGTTAACAATAAAGCATATTGAAAATAAGTTTTATTGTTATGTTTCTAAATTAATTATAAAGCAATGACGTATTTTGTTTAATAATATATTTAAAAGGAAAAACATTTCTTTCAAATGCATTTTGATGTAATACACGACAATTACGCGTATGTCATATTTGAAATCCCGACTTCCGATAAATAATAATAATTAATTTCTTATAAAAAGGGTCAGAAAATTAAATTACTGGAGAAATGGCAAAAAAAATCACTTTTTTTTTTACAAAAAGAAATTCAAAAATTAAACTATTTTTTTTACAAAAACAAACAAAAATTCAAAAAATTCAGATACACTTATTCATCATAAATTGTTCATTCCCTCAATTCACATTCCTTCTCACTATAATCTTAATAACGTCTCTAGCATAACGCTGAGACATTCTTATGAAAACAAAAAGTGGAGATTATAGTCAAAATAAGTCAATATAGTGATAACTTATATAATTGATTAATGGTGCGGAATAAGAAAGCTACATTCTTTGATGGTGGTAGCAAAAAGATTCCCACCACATACCGAACCCTTATTTCCATCTACGATTGATAAATAAATAACAAGTCAAATCAGTCAAATCAATTATATAGACCTTAATTATACTCTTCCTGTGGAAGCAATTTACCCCATTAATATTGACTTTTACCTTATCTGAAAATTATATAATGTCATTTTATGCCAAAACAACAAATGGTATTAAGGGAAAATATGGCTTGATAATTAATTACAACAGTGAGATTATACTGTGGAGAAATCACCAGTATATTGCCACTATTTTTCAAATTCTTATTGTAAATCCAACTTTACAGAACGAGATTCAAAAGTACATTCATTCTTTAAAATTATCCGCCATCAAAATACCCGTCCACTTCCAATAATACTTCCATTTGCCTCGATCTAATAATGTCTTTCCTTGACTTTAATATGCCAAATAAAATTGTCAGGAGACAAAATATAAATAGCATAGAACAATATTAGAATTTGATCCCTACATCTTCTAAGAAATCAAGTTATCGACATAAAATTTTAGATTATAATTTATTAGGTGAAAGTTATTATGGGATAGTTAAAAGAAATGACTATCCCACATGATTGTATTTTAAATTAATTTTTGCGTATTCATTCATGACTTAAAAATAGATTATAGGATAGGAATTTATTCTAGCTTAAAATTTAATTTTTGCGTATTCATTCATGGCTTAAAATTTAATAAAATTTACCAATTTTTTAAGTTAATAAATATTTTTTTTTTATTCATTTAATGAAAACAATAAATTTGGCCTGTGATATACCTCGAATTATCGCCAGTGATATAATTTCACATCTATTATATTAATTAAGTAAAATGAAATTTAAAATAAATTTCTATTCCAAGATCATTAATGATGCAGTCCCAAATGATAATTTCTTAATAATTTAAAATAATAAATTAGTTAAACTAATAAAAATATTGCAGTCAGAATTCGATATAAGTTTGATTTTTATATGTTCATATATAAAAAATTTTAAAAAAATCGCTTTATCGTGAAATTCGTACCGCATAGTCGTTGTATCGATTCTCTTTATATAAAGGAAATAGCTTTTCATCTTTTCGTAAAAAAAATTTAATATAGGAAATACTGAAATAGTCAATGCGTCTTTTATTTCCTATAAAGAATTTTATAATTTAGAAGTTTTATCGATCGATTAGAAGTACGATTCATTGATCGTAATTCTATTGTCACAGATTGGTTACGTCATGACATCCTTTATTAGTATTAAAAGAACAATTTTTTCCTTCAAATTAAAAATAATGTAATAGAAATTATTTTTTATTGTAGTTTTTTTTTTTTTTGTTAACGTGACCATTTGAACATTCTTTTATATCTAGCAAATACTTGGAAATGGAACGGAACATCATATTCTATAGATTCACATGCCAGTATAAAACTTGATGCTACAATTGTAACAAATACTGTACATTGTAAAATATTTTTTACATCGACCATCAAACGGTGAGATACCTTACTGGCTTCGATTAAAATCTTTTGCCTTCCTAGTATAACCGGGATTTAATGCATTCCCTTTTTTTTGTAAGGCTAAAAATTATAATAATTATTGGAATTATTAAAAATTTAATTAATTAAAAAATGGATAATAATATTGTTCCTACTTACTTCACGCATTTTATTCTAGTCTTCATATCTATAATTTGAATCTTGTTCATCGCCTTCAATTTCGGTGTCTGTGTAGGCTGTAACATCATCTGAAGAAATAGATCAAACGTGCTTAGAAGGGAATGCTGGGGATCACCATCAGTCAATTACATAGGATCATTTCATCATAAATTCATAAAACATAAATTGGTGATTACCAAATTCTTCGACACTAACCATTTCTTATGATTAGTATTGAATTTCTTTCATAATGATTGAAAAAACACTTCAACTTCTATCTTAATAATAAAAAATTTTTAAAATAAAAATTTTTCTCTGTCTCTATTTTTCTCATTAGAAAGAATTATAAAAAATTTAATATTTATTATAAAAACACTTAAGTTTAATAAATATTGAAAGAAAACCTTTTCTTTTCGTCTCTATATTATCTAAGGAAATTTTAGTGCTTTTAATGTCCTAAAAATAAAGTCTTTTAAAATATGGAAGATAATTTTCGTTCGCATCACCAGCTTCCTCGATTAATACCGTCTCATAAATTCAAAAAGATTTGTTTAATCATCACACCAACATTCTTATCGTTAGAAAAAATGAATATTTGAACGAGCCCCTGCGGTATATGATCCAGGTATTTTGGCTGATGTGGAACTTTTTTTACTCCATTTCTTCTGTTAAGAATAGCGAACCGAGAGTTTCAGAATGATTGGTTAAGAATTTGACAAATCCCAAAAAGTTACTATAAATTAATATACCTTAGATCGATAACGATTGTCATTGCAATAAATTTTAAATGACGGGAATAACGTCCTCTCTCTTTACAGAATAATCATAATTAATTGATAACTTTTCAAAAATTCACTCGATCAATATAACCGATTTTCGTGTCTTATCTCGAAATGATGTTGCACCATGTTAATTAATTTTGGCTGCGGAGTAAAATCAATGTCACGGATAATGCAGATACGTCACAGTCGTCACGTTACGATCGATTGCAATAGTAAAAACGTAGAATTCCAAAATTTTATGATATATCCTTTTTTTTTTAAAAAAAAAAAAAATCAAACCCCTTTTTTTAGAAAAATAAATAAATAAATAATTTATCTAAATTTATTNTTTTTTTTTTTTTTTTTTTAAAAAAAAAAAAAAAAAAAATTGTCTAAACAAGTGACCAGTTTTGAAACGTCAACATGCATCGGAGTTTCTGGAAATGCAGCTTATTTTAAAAATATTATTAAATTAATGTCATTTGTAATCAAGTAAAATAAATTATTATTAATAAAAATTATGAAAGCTTCTATGACGTCTTTTGTGTTGAATAAAATTCATTGTAAAATTTTATAAAAAAATCATACGATACATTTATTTACTTGTTTCACATATGTTTACTCCATTTGAAATTATATCATTTAATGAATTGATTTTAAAAAAAAATTTAAAATAAACAATATATTTTTATAATAAAGAAACAAAAAATAGTTATTTTTAATCCCTATTTATTATTCCTTTTACAGAATTTCATTACCTGTTTAAATTGACGCCTTGATGATCCTATTGTTCTTTGCATTCTTGTGTAATTCCTTTTAAAGGTCTGGAACAAATCTATAGAACTTCTTTACCATACTTCGTTTTGAAACAAAAAAGGAAATCTAACGTTATCTGAATTTGGCCAAAATTATGAAAGGTTTTAGCCGGGATCTGCAAATTTACTCCATCTGGGTAATTGATAATTCCTTATCTTTTAAAGTATGATGGTTACGTAACGTATCCATAACGGAGTTAGTAAATACTGTATATAATTATTAATAATTTAATAATTTAATATATACCATAACCTTATTTTTTTATATATATTTTACATTAAATTGATATTTTTTTATATATTATTTTACATTAAATATAATATTATATTATTTATAATATCAGTCAATAGTATATAACAGAAAATATATAATAGTAATAGTATAAATTTTCATTTATTGAATTTATGTAGGAATTTAAGAATAAAGAAGTATATAATTGAGAATTTGTGAAACATGCCAAGAAATGTATCTTATTAATAATTTTTGCGTATATCTTATTTGGTTCCAGCAGGTTCCAAATGAATATTTATTAGTAATTTTTTTTTTTTTTAAAAAAAAAAGCACGAGACTTTTTAAAGTTTTCGAAATTATATAAGTTTCGACAGTTTCGTGAATCGAACGTCCTTTGATGAAGTTATTGGGATTTTTTATTCCCTAATTTTTTTCAATATGCCACTACAAAAAAATTTTATTTAAAAACACTTAACATAACTATAAAATAATAAAGAATACTGCTTAATTATGAAAATTTTTAAAGACATTTCATTTCTCGAATGGTACTCAAAGAATTGAAAAACGATATAAAGTTATTATTTCTAATTTTACAAAGGAATTCTTGACGTTATACAGTAATATGAGTAATACAAAAAAAAACACTATCGCTTTCTCTTTATCTATACTGAAAATTCATAACAATACAAAATAGGACATAACATACACCAAATGTCCTTTAATAGTTTAAATATTTCATATTCTAATTTTAAGAATCAGAGATCAAATGTGTTATCTTTGAATAACACGTATAATTTCAAGTTTATTGATATTGAATAAAAGACAAATGGACGAGATGATGGCGTTAACTTCGTCAGAAATATCGATTTATTATGAAGAAATTGAATAGAATATTAATAATGTGAAGAGTTGTGACTATATAGGAATCAATTTACTGGGTGATTATATAGAGGTCTAACTGTATTAGCATCGGGATTTTATATCCTGATTATAAATATTCTCCAAGATTTAATTCGGCGAGAAAATCTAGGAGGAGGAAAATTGCCAAAGCTAAAAGAGATGGGATGAGTTGAAAGGAAAAAAGAAGGGTAGAATAATCCTGTATATCATGCCCATCTTCTGGCTGAATAGCTTTTGATGATATTTTGATGTCCCAATGGGCCCACTTTGTTTGTGATAATCTTGAATCGTATTAGCTAATGGTGCGAATTTATTGTACTCTAAGGTGTACACTAAGGAGTTCTCATTAGGGATTGACCCTATGAAAAATTTTTTAGAAAATTGATTATATGTCAGAGTTTTTTTGGAATAAAAACTAGAAAAATGAACATTTATCAGAGTTTTCCCCAGAAAATTTTTCGTGGGGTGATATAAAAAGTTGATATGTATAAAAATTAATGGTTTATTATTACTAGAAGTCATGGTTAAGAAAGATTATTATTTAATAAATTTCAAGAAAAAAAGATAGCAAAAAATTTAGCATTTATATATTTATTTTGTAAGAATACGTATTTGGTATTGTTTAATTATTATACTTCAATAAGAATTTTGTTTGATACAAAGAATTGAATGATTAACCCAATAAGTTCGATATAAATAAATATTTGCGTTAATATATTTTAAATTATTTTCATCCAATCAATAATCTAATATTAATAATTATTTAAAATTTTTTTTATTATTATTTTATTTTTTATGATCATCGAAAGAGATTTTTGAATGATTTTATTTTTTTTTTTTATTTTTTTTTTAAAAAAAAAAAAATAATAAAATTGACTATTGAAATTAAATAACTATTAAAACGATCGAACAACCCCCTTATAATTAATTGTACACGACGACGCGACGACCGCGACGTAGAAGAATATTTGACTTGCTATAAATATTAGGGATAATATTATTAATTTTTTTTATTTTAATATAGTAATTTTGATTAAATTTATTCGCGCGACAAATAACTTTGCGACAATTAGAAAGAACTGTCCCACCGCCTGGACGTGAAAGGTTTTACCCGAATAAGTTAACCTGATACACATTTCTCGAACAGCCAATAAAAAATGATAAAAAATATAAAAAAAAAGCTCAAATACTTATCACAATACACTTTCGGAAACATTGTAATTTTAAAGAATTTTCAGTTTATTAAAAAATATTGAAAAAATTATATGATTTTACGCATCTAGCTTGACGAGTGTAATGTTTATTCATTTATAAAATATTAAAATATTTATAAATATAAACTATCATGTATGAAAGAATTTCATAGAGAGATTTTATTAAATTTTTCGACGAGATCATCCGCCGCATCTTGTACCTTTAAAGAACAAAATTTTAAAATAAATATATATATGTTATATTATTTAGTTATTAAAGTTAATAGATACTTACTTTATCAATAAATTGATCATCATCTTTTGTTTCTTTATAATCAAATTTTTTTGGATCCTTGGAAATATTTTCTCGAGTAACTTCTGGTTGAGCTTCGCTAACAGTATTATACTTTCGGATTTCAGAGGTAAATTTGAAAAATTCTCTACGATGATTTCTTATGAGGTCTCCCATATAAGGATGACTGACTTGTCTAAAGTGTCTGATATGGAAATGGTTAGGACGATTAGATTCCCTTCTGTTTGTCGCGGCTTTGTTCTTTTCTTTTATTACTTCCAAGAGTTTTGCGACCTCAATAATAATTTTATTTAAATCGATATTCCTATCCGACATTGTTTAAAATAATAATAACAGGGAGAAAAAAATTGTTCAGAAAAAGTATGGAAAAATACTAACTAAAAAAAAAATACTAATATATAAATATATATTTTTTTTTTTTTTGGAACAAATAAAACATGCCAAGAATGAGGAATTAAATAATAAATTTTTTTCAAAATGTTTATACTTTTTTATCCAATTATTAAAAAGTCTTACTAGAATTAGAAAAACTTTTACATTCTGTTTGCTATCTTCGTCAGTCCCTTGAATAAATTCCAATTGCTGGGAGCAAATCAATTAATTTTATTTTAACACCGAATAGTCTATAAAAAAGATGTGTTACTAAAATGACATCCAATAAATATATCAAATTAGGTATCATATTTATGTAACACGGGGTTAATTCTAATACTAATATAGTGATGAATAACTAAAATTTCAATATTTTATTTATGATGATCCTTTTCTAAAAATTGTAAACTTAAGAGCGAAAGAGTAACTCTTTTGTTGAAATAATTCATCCAAGTTTGTTAGGTCAATACTTCTAAAAAAAGAGGCCGGCTGCTAATTCTAGAACGCCAAATTGCATTGGAATTTCCAATCCAAATATAATACTATATAATCCATTTAGGTAAAATTTTAAAATGTTCTCATGACATAGAAACTCATTGTGAGATCATACGACATCTTTTCTTTATATATTTCACATGTTTCATCTTAATTTGATAAAAAGAAACTTAAAATATACTTTTAATAAAAATCTTTAATTGGCTTCATTATTCTATTTACAGGTTCATTATACGTAAGAGCTGCATTTATTATTACTTTATAAACCAGATTGTTCTGTTTACATTCTTTTTGTAATTCTTTTTTATTAACTTTTTGCCACACCCTGTATATCTAAGATCAGCAAACTTTAAAAAAAAATTGTTATTGTATTCTACTTTTGGTAATCTATTGATTTTATTTTAAAATTATTCGATTTATTTTTTTCAAACTCCGTTATAATTCCGTATATTATTTTGTTCTAAAAAAGAACTCTAATGCGAGAGATAAATTTTTCAATATTTCATAATAATAAGTCGGACCATATTTTTTCAACAGAGTTTTTAACCCTAAATATAGTGTATCACACAAACATTCAAAACAATGAACTTACCAAAGGATTCGTCTTACTTATCAATACTAATAACATGATATCGGTGTTACTATTTTGGATAAATATTTTGATTTTCTATTCTATTGGACGCAGTAGGTGAAATTTATTGATTTAATGCTTACCAATAATGGCATAATATCATCTTTTATTCGTATAATTCACATAATTTTTTTTAAAAAAAATAAAGAATCAACCCAAATTAAGTATGGTATCTTATCAAAGCAATACGAACAAAAAAAAAGGGGTTGAAAAATTTTTTAAAGAAAAACTCTGGAGACTATTTTATATTATTACGATATTTTTAGTTTTTTACTTTTTACTTGAGTAAAGCTTTACTAAGTGGTTAACAAGATCGCCCAGAATTACGTTGTAAAATGTGGCGTAGTATTGCATCCCGACGAATATTAGGCGAAAGAAATTTTTATTAGCGTAATTATATTATACTTCTGCTCCGCAGAAACATTTTAATTAAGTCTATTAGATATGAAATTTAACTTTATTTAATATAAAATAAATAAAAAATTACAAAAAAATTTCGTATAATAATATATGTTCGATTTCACCGAATTACTCCTTCATTCTTATAATTTACCACAATAATATCATGATCACTCGTCCATAAATAAACCATTCCATCATCATAATGATGGATAAATTTAAATGGTGACCTATTTTCAGATTTCCAATTTTCAAAAAATGTCCTCAATCCTTCCAACGAGAAATTAAACTTATCTCCGAATGAAAATTCTTTTAAAGTTGTGGACAACATTTTGCTCATTAATAGTAAAATTTTATCACCGTTGGGTAATACATTGGAATTTGTGGTAAGGAATAATTTTTCCAATTGCATGCAATTGGAAAAAATCCCTTTCATTTTACACAAATTTCTATGTCCAACTTCCATTGTTAAGTTAATTAATTTTGGACAATGATTTGATATTGCCAAAATTAATTTTTTGTTTTGGGATTGATAGTTATTCGAATCTGAATCAAGTGGAAAACGTATGTAAATTTCTAAAATGTGTCCGCCGGAATTTTCAATTATCAAACATATAATATTATTTGGTAAATAGGCGGTTTCTAGGTACTTAAGGTGAGGAAAGGAGGCCATTCCTAAATATTTTGTCCATTTCCGCCACCCCCTTTCATATAAATCACCATCATTATCAAGAGTTAAGTATTGTATGTTTTTTAATGATAAAACAAATCTAGGTGAAATTAATGTAACAGGTTGTAACGTAAATTTTTTTAATGTCGCAGCCTTTTTTTCAATGATTTTTTTGAGTTTGTTGTATTCTACTTTTTCATTATCAATAAAATATAAACTCAATGACTGCAGGTTTTTTTGTGTTTCAATAAAGGAAACTAAACCTGGAGCGTCCTCATTGCAATCAACTATCTCTAAGTTTGTTATGTCTTTACAAATACCGGAAAGTTTATGTAAAGTTTTTGAATTCGCGAAATTAATTTTAAAATTGAATTCAAAAAAATTTAAATTTGAAAAAAAAAATTCGGCGTTTGAATACTTGTAAATTTTTTTTTTAGTATTCCAATGGAAATACTTTGTATTTTTACACTTATTTATAATTAGTCTGTATATTTCTTTTTCTAATATTTTTTTTTTATATTTTGAATCCTCAACTTCGTTATTTATTAGAAAATCCGCCATATCTTTTATCCATACTGTTGTGATACGAGTGAAAAAACTCATGTATTCGAACGATAATTTTTTTGTGATCCTATTTAAAGGTAATTGAATATCGTATTGTGGTAAAGGATCTCCTGGATTATTTGGTAAAAAGTGAGCGATGACATTGTATAATTTTTTACGCAATTCTGGTTCGAAATTATATGGGTTTTCGAATAAACTGGAAAAATTTTTCCAAAGTAAAGGAATTGCTATATGACACCACATTGTATTTACTAAAATGCATGAATGTAATGTTGAAATATCATCGCGTAATTCATTAAAAATTAACAATAAAACGTCGTCTACTAGTTGTGCCATATTATTAAAAATATTATAAATTATAAAAAAGCGCCTACGAGAAGGAAATTGAGAATTGAAAAGAAAAGGGAAAATTCAAAACCACCGGACGATGATAAAATAATTGGATATAAATGCATATTTATATGAAAAATTGACAAGCCAAATCGTAAATTAGAATTTTTTTATTTTTTTTTTATTTACTATATATTACTATATATGTTTAGTTTAGTTAATAAACGTCTGGGCACTTGAAAGATAGAAAGATAAAAGATTTGTTCGGTCATCTGAAACAATCAAAATTCAGGAAAATAAAACTTTATTAGTTTATTGTGACCGATATTTAATGGTTGATGAATTTTCAAATTAGGGAATTTTACCGTGGCCTAACGACGACTTTGTTTTTTCTTCCATCTAAAATAATTATTGAAAGTACTTAATACGGAATTTTTTGTATAACATTTATATCGTTGAATCTTATATTAATAACATCATGAAATGTTTGTACACAAAGAATGCCTTAATTACTTCTATTGAAAAATTAGAGTTTTTATTTTAGAAATAAAATATTTGAACAGTTAAAACGATAATCATCAAATAATCTTAAAACTCGATACACAAGAGCGCCCCTTATTATAATTTACCATACGTGGTTTAATTTGTAAAATTATTGGTTACAATAAAAATGATTTATTAGGATAATCGCTTTGCTCATCCGTTTAATTTGTTCAAATACGTGAGAACGTGAGAACATTTTGGATTCTCTTCCGTAGAATTTTCATCAACCTTTCTTTGTAAGAAGGTTAACGCAGCATTAATATCTTAAGTGTTTTTGTTCAATTAAAAATCAAGTTCCAATAAAAGATTTTTTGTGAAACGACATACATCGATTGAGCAATGAAAACTATTTAACCTCTTTAAGGAATGAAATAATGAGATTACGAATTTACCCAAGTACGAAAAATTAATATAGTAATACGTCCGACGCCCTAACCCTAGTGTATTAGAGTAACGAAATTGGTAATTTCATTGAATTTTCATTGTTTCCAAATTAAAATTAAATTAAAATTATATATTAACTTCATATTTGAATTTTCTTAATATTCAAATAACGAAACATAATAAATGTGTTTCATATATAATATTCAATACAGACTGTTCCACATTTTTGCGTAAGTTTTTTTTATACAGTATGTTCGTTCAAAATTTATAATGTAAGATATGCTTTTTTGTTATAAAGTTCTCATCTTATTATACATTACAATGAAACGAATTATTAACATGACTATAAACGCTTCTTTTTTCTTGACAATACAAATAGTTGATTTGTTAACTTCAGCAAATTAAATGAGTATTATAAGTACATGCAGATTATCACCCATGGTCATGAGAAATTAAATGATTGTCTCTTTGAAGTTTATTTTTCAGGTTTGTGTAAATATAATTTCATAGTTCGGAGAGATGATCATGATTTCGTCCGTTCGTAATACATTGCATATCAATCACGTTCTTTATATTAATTGTAATTTACTTCGCTGTGAAAAAAAATATTATATCATTGATTTTTAAACTTATTTAAAATTGTTAATTTTATTTATTATTATTTTTTTTTTAGTGACATATAAATTGAAAGGGGCTCTGGTCTGGGGATGCCAAAAGTCCGATCATAACCGGTTTATACCGGTTCGGTTATTCAGTGACCGAACCAACCGTAGGTTTTATATATAAAAACCGGTCAAAAAACCGATCGATCGGTTAATTAATTTATCGAGAATATCATATACCGACGTTCGTAGTTTGGAAGGAAGTGTTTTTCATATTTTGATTTGTCTTGATTTTGGTGAATACTTATTTCTGTGATGGTTAAAATGTCTAGTTTTTGAACAGAAAAACGATAAGATGTCATTTAATTTGTGGCGAAAGCCCTATTGAATATTAATTGTGCGGTTTGTGCCTATTTTTATAATATATTGTAGAGTTTTTGGTTGACTTTCGGGTTCGTTGATTATATCCATTATGGTGGTTGGATATTCTGTTATCGGGATTTTGTGATGAGGAGTGATCGTAATGGTAATTAGGGATGTGGTAAGAGTAAGATAAGGAGCGTGAGTGTTTATTTTTTTTTGTTTTGTGAAGAAATATTTAAGTAATTCGATGTGTGAAAAAAAAACAGAGTTGGGTTATTCAAAGATGAGTCCAAAAAACAAAGGAGATATCCGGTAAGAGATTTAACGTGTTCCCTTAAAAATATTAAGGGGATTGTAATAAGTCGAGCTTGATACTGGTTGACTGTTATGACTCCGGACCGAGTTTTCGAAAAATTGATCTCTGTCATTTTCTTGTTCTTTATTTTATTATATAGGTGTACGTCTTCCTCTGTTTGTTCGTTATCTGTAACATAAATGGAGTCACAAGCAACGATGTCCATGGGTGTGTTTGTATCGTTTACCCGTTCAGACTTAGATCTTTCTTTTGATGATTTACGTCTTTGTTTGTTAGAGGGATTAGAAGTTAATTCACGTTTATTTTATTTATTATTTTTATTTTTAGAATTCACGTGAACAAAGTAACGGTAATAATTACAAGGACAAACATTTAGTAGGTCTAAGGTAATTAAAAAAGAACCGTATATCAAGTCGCGGCACTATAATTAAAAAAACAGCACCACCCTTTCAAAAAGAAAAAATAAAAATAAAAGGTAAAAGGGCAATAACGAAATAAAAGAAAAAATAAAATGAAACACATAATTGGGGTCTGATCTAGCAAATCAAGGTAAATGATTAAATTTAAGTTATTGTATTTTAATCTAGTCATATCAAAAAGTATAATGTAATAAAAATCTCAATTTTAAAACAGTTCCCATATTCTGAAATCTAAACCAATAAAATGAAAAAACCCCAGTGGGGTAAAATTAAATTAGTTTACGCAAAGTCTCTAAATTTCCGCTAAGATCTTTGATCGTGAGGCTTTTCGGGACTGGATATTAATACAAGATATATGGATATTAATATAAGACGTAGTATATGGATATTAAATACAAGATGTAGTATATGGATATATACAAGTTCGTCAAGGTATTTGTTGATTTAATATCAATAAAATAATGTATATATGTGCGTTTACTAATTTATAATTTAATTGCGTCACAAATTACTTAATTAGAGCGAACACGAAAGTGTATAACGGTGCTCCTTCTTTTGCTTCTCTGGATTTTTGGACTTCGTCTTTTCTGATTCTTCTTGAAGCGTCCCACTTTATCATAAGGCACATACAAAATGTCAGCCTGATGCACCTCATTAGGTATTTGCGGGATGAATCATGGACGAGGTTTGTGACCTGATTTTTATCAGCCTGTCGGATTCTTGGGCTGGTTGTGTGATGCTTGTTGGATTTAGAATCCTTTGATCTTTTGATTTGCGTTGGGGAGGGTTTCAGGGAAGAATCTTCCCCAAGTTGGTGTTTAATGCGTTCCGCATATCTTCCCACTTTTCGAAATATCCAATCAACTTCCGTTCCCCTCTTGCAGTTTGTATAATTCTGAAACTTTTCAATCCTTTAATCTGTGAAAGGAAAGAGTGTGTGCGATGGTCAGTCCATAACGTTGCTAACGACATAGAATCTGGAAGTTTATGTATCGTAGCTTGGAATTTCTCGCGTTGTTTTCTTTCTTTGAGGTTGAGGGTCCACTTTGCAGAAAACCATCGTACTAGTATCCTCCCTAAATCCGTTGTCCAGGCCGGATCTTCATAGTTAACTCACGTTTACTGTTGCTTTGATGTTAAACTCGACGTTCGAGCACGTGACCTTAATTACAACTCATAAAAAGATTATCCGATATGGTCATGTGCCTAGTTGCCGATCTTTCTGTCGAAGCAGTACTTTCGCTACTATCAAAAGCGGCGCAGCAATCAGAAGAATTATCCATATTACTTCCCTGTTCTGATTTCAAAGTCTCTTCTACGTGAGATGTTTCATTTATACTCATGTAAGACTTGCTGCCGAACTATTTCCAACTATATTTAACAACCCATGTATTTCGTGTTTCAACGTACGTTCTCTTTATTCTTGTTGCTGTTCGAACTTTATTTTTAACTGTTCTTCTTGCTTTAAAAATTGTTGCTTAATTACATCAGCCTTTTTTTCCGAAACATTTCGCATAGTCGGCTTATTTAATGCTGCGGAAAGTTTATAAATGAATAGTTGACGAAGCTTCTCCTGGTGTCTTTCTAACGCTAAAAACTTCGCTACGTCTTCGTCCGTTGTTTCCCGTTTTAAGCCCGCTTGTTCCAATATTTGTATTTTTTCACTTCTATCTTGACCTTCCAGTGTACTTACATCCTCTGTAGAGTCAGTTACTCCCATCTTTTGTTTCTTAATTTATTTTTCTTATAATTTTCTCCTTTTGTTATTTAAAATTCAAATGCCCGCAGTCAAAGATTTGGCGAATCAATCTATTTACTATATCAGTCATTCAAAGTCATGCACAATATGAAACTGAAACACATTCATGTAACATAATTCTATCCCATATTCAAAAGAGTTTCAGCATCAGAAACTTTAAATTGAAAAAGACCACAGTCTTTTGTAATTTTTAAACTGTAAAAACCCTTGATAACAAATTGCAAAATAAGCAATAAAATATTTAAATTTATAAATCACAAAAAAAAAAATTTAAACATAGATAATATTTTAAATAAGTTCAAAATTAATAGTATAATATTTTTCTCACGGCAAAGTTAAACATTACAGAGAACATGCTTGATATGAATTGTGTATTGCGAACTGACGGAAACCATGATCATCATATTGCATAGGTCCCCACGCTTCGCTTCAGTCAATCAATAAAATTACATTTACACAAACCTAAAATTAAACTTCAAACAGACAATCCTAAAACCATGGGTGACAAAACTTTAGCCAGTGATCTAAAATTGGGTAATAAATCTGCATGTATTTACTTATCTTACTCATTTAATTTGCTAAAATTAAATTCATGAGATGAAACAATAAGGTTGCGTGAAATCTAGCATGCATCTTGCAATTCGTGGTTTTTAATAAATAATAAAATCAAACAATTTTACAAATTGTATTATTTTGTTTACTTTATTTGTTTTATCCTTTAGTCATTGTAATGCAAATAAATTTTCTATACTATCTAGAACAATTCGTTTCATCGTAATGTATAATAATATGAGTACAAAAAAAAATATATTATAAATTTTATATATTTTTGTCATTTCGCAAGATTATTATTAGCCTATCACCGCAGAAAAATGTTCACGTTCACGTAATTTCTAAAATATGAGTTAATATGTCAATACCAATATTTTCATCTTAATAAAAAATGAATCTTTTGTTCTTTACGCATCGCTCTTTGAAGAGGTGTTTTGGTGGGCTTACGATAATGTAATTGGTTATGAGTGATACATTTGTGTCACCCTTTTACATTTAATAAAGCGCATTAAACAAGTTTAAAAATAAAATAAAAAATAAAATAAAAATGAATGACGTCAAAAAGATTACTCTAAAACATGTTCTGGTAGTTTAAATACATATACTCAGCGGAAAAAAACATGTAACGCGTGCAGACTATTTAATAAAAATCGTCAGATGAATTTACGAAATATTATTAAATTCAAAGAAAACATTTTCCAAATAGTAGTAATACTTTTATGGTCATATTGCAATAATAATTTTTGATCTGATTTCTGTATAATTTTACTAATTATTAAAAATTTTTTTTTTTTTTTTTTTTTTTTTTGTGGAGCTAATGACGTCACAAGGACGATTTTTATTAATTTTGTAGATAATAGGCCAGTGAGTTCACAAAAAAACTCGGTGGCAACGAATCATACAAAAAATCTAAGTATACAACTAAACACGTAGAAGTATACCTACGATGCTACACGTTTATATTAAAAATTTTTAATAATACACGTTCCCATTTTCGTAAAATAAAACGTACATTTTTAGAAATGATCAGTATAAAATTACATAACGTGTGTCATTTTTCTGCGGTAAGTTAAGCTTACGTAAAATGTGGATCGTGTGATACGTATTGTTATGTGATACACATTTTGTCATTTATGTTTCGTTGTTTCGTCATAAAGAAATGGTTCTAGTCTTCTAGATTTGGAAACAATGAAGTGAAAATTTATGAAATTACTTATTTTGTTACTATAATACACTTGGGTCGGAGATTACATTAATTTTTCGTACCCCGTATTTCAGTATCGCATAGTTAAATGAAACATTCGTTATTTTATCTCCGAATTAAAACTTATTGATTTTAAAACTTTTTTATTTTATTTCCAAAATAAAACTTATTGATTTTTAATAGAAATCATTTTATTACATTTAATTGGGGCATTCTTGTGTTCCAAAATTTTCATGATATTATTAAGTTTCAACGATATAAATGTTATACAAAAAATGCTACACTTTCAATATTATCTTAAATGGAAGAAATTTTTAATGATTGTTTTATTGATTCGAACAATTGAAATTGAACCCCTATTTCATCAGACATTATTAATTAGACTAAACACATATGACAAATTTTTATATAAATATGCATTCATATCTTTCAACTATTTTATCTTTCATACCAACAGTTTAATTTATTCTTGATATAATCATCCAGCATTTTTAATTTTTAACTTTATCTTTTCAATTTTCAAATTTTCTTCTCGTAAAGAGCACTTTTTAATAATTTATAATTACATTTATCACTTTTAACAATATGGAATTCCTCGTAAAAGATGTTCTCGTATTGATTTTTACTGAATTACTTGGTGATCTTGATTCTTTGCATTCATGTAGTTTAGTAAATAAAACCTGGTGTGAATTAGCTATGCCTTTGCTATGGAAAAATAGTTACCAATGTCCTTACAAATACAAAAAAGAATCACGTGAAAAATACTATAACGTTATCGCCCACTTTTTACCAAACAATCCGGAAGATCCTTTGCCACAAAATAAGATTGTATTACCTTTAAATAAATTTCCAAAAGGACCAATGCTCGAATACATGAATTATATCGCCCTTTTCACGCCAGCATGTATTGAAGATATGGTAAAATTAACAATAAATGATGAAGTCGAGGATTCTAAATACAAAAAAAAAATATTGGAGCGTGAACTTTACAAATTAAGTTTTACTAAATGTAGGAATGTAAAGGATTTCCATTGGTGTACCAAGGAGAAATTAACTTTATTTCCAAATGCCAAAAGAATTTTTTCAAACTTACATTCCCTTAAAATTCATCATGAAAAATTTATTAATTCAAATACTTCATTAACTGAACTTGGCAAGATTTGCCAAGACTTAAGAGACTTGGATGTACGCGATTGTCAAAAGGATACTCTAGACTTAGCCTTATTCATTAAAATACAAAAAAATCTGCAATCATTATGTCTAGCTTTTGATGAGGAAGAAGGGCAATACAATTTACTAAGCGATGTGATTAAAGAAAAGGCTGTGACATTAAAAAAAATTTCAATACGATTCAATGTTACATTAATTTCACCTATAGTTATTCCGTCATTAGAAAATATACAACATTTAGTTCTTAATAATATATGTGGTGAATCATATAGAAGTGCAAAGTGGGATGAATGGGAACACAACTTAAGCACGGCCTCTTTTCCGAACCTACAATACCTTGAAACATTATATTTGCCAATTAGTATTATACGTTTAATAATTGAAAAGTCTGGTAAAGACATTTCAGAAATTAATATATGTTTATGTCCACCTGGATCTAGAGATTATAAAACTGATAATAAACAATTAATTAAGGCGATATCAATATATTGCCCAAAGTTAAAATTTTTAGCTATGGATATTGACAACAGAAACTTAGGTGAAATGTTCAAGATCTTTTTAAATTGCACACAATTAGAAAAAGTAACTTTTTCAACAAATGCTAATAGTAATATACCATCCGATGGGGATGAATTATTAAAAGTAATGAATCAAACGGTACCTACAACTTTACATGAAATCACGTTTAGAGAAGATTGGATTTTTTCATTGGAAGAATTAGAATTATTTATTGAAGATTGGAAATCTAAAATTAGTTCACCAATTAAATTTACCCTTGTTTTTGATGAATCGTTATGGACGGATGATCATGCTTGGATGGCAGAAAGGTATATGGAAGAGTTACAATTTGTTTTTATTTAGAGGAAATATTATTAAAATGGTGTAAAAAAGATTATTCTTGAAGATTTGAGATATATCCTACTTTGCAGAAACTTTTCAAATCGAAACCAAATCGTGACTGATTTGCATATTTATCGTAAAGTGATTCGTCTATGCAGTAACATGATCGTCATCTGGTTTGCATCGGACCTTACAAAATTAATTATTAAGATCGTAACGATTGTGTTATCTAAATATTAAAGAATTTGTAAATTAATATTATCGAAGTTATAAATAAATATTAAAAATTAGTAAATTAAATAAAAGAAATTTTTTTGCAGTAAAAGAACTTTTTCTAAAAATAAATTGTCATACTATTATTATAAGCATTTTTCATTTTATAAAAATCTGGCATGGAATTTCCAAGTACATCTTTCACAAATGGTTCATGTGAATGGTGATGGTAAAAGATTTGTTCATGTTATGATCATTGGATGTGGGACAGGACCCAGAAATATATATAAAAGGGTCAGGTTTGAGTTTGCGTATTTTGAACTAAAAAAGTCATGAAAATCTTTCCTTTTTTAGATAATTTTTGATAATGCCAGTCAGACTTTTATTTCCTATTATAGTAACCGACTGGCATTATCATAATTCCGGCCCTGAAAAAATGCGTACAGCTCATAGTAAAAAATTTTTTTCATCACCTGACCCCTATATATATATTTCTGGGTCCTTGTGGGACCGTGTACAGTTCACCCTCGCTATAGTGAAGCTCATGGGCTGAAGGTTAAGATTCACTATAGTAAGGGATTCACTATAGCGAAGGTGAACTGTATTAAGAATTATTATTTATATAGAAAATCCGTACCTGAGCTTTTCTTTACTATAGCAAATTATTCACTGTATAAAAATTCACTATAGCGAGGGTGAACTGTACTTTTCGCTCCAATTAGAACTAGACTTGGTGGTAGAGTTAAAGTTATTTTGTCCGGCGCTGCCTATTTCAACGGAAGTTATGGATTTTTTGAGAATTGCTTTTTCAATTGATGTATATGAAAGATATGGTCAACCCATCAAAAGACACGAAAAAATCACGTGACCTTCATTTCCAGCTTTGAAATAGTCAATAAAGAGAATTCCGTTTTTACACAAAAAAAAAAAAAAATATTTTGTGGCAAAGCATCATTTGAGCCAACACACAAAATCACGTGCCCGAGCATTTTTATTGACCGATCAAATTTGATTCCCAATCACCGAACTGCGCAGACGTCCAAGATCATGCATTCATTGTTTCATAAACTCAATAAGCTATTAACATATAGCATTTATTTTACCTGTAAAATTTTATATAGGTGATATTTAATCTAAATATCGTAATGCGTCAAAAATATAATTTATTTGTAAAAATCAGTATTTTGAAAGAACAACGTATTCAATTATGGCAAAAAATAATATAACTTTAATCAGATGAAGGAAACAATATTAACTATCAATTATTTATTATAATAGGAACAATGCTGTTTTTTGACAATAAAAAAAAAACAAACTATATACTAAAAACTTAATAATAAATTGGTAAAATCTAACTATAAAATTATATGTAATTACGAAACTATAATAAAAAAATTGTTGAAACTGAAGTTTAAAGGAACGGGGAAACGAAAGGGAAAGGGAACGGGGAAAACGAAAGGGAACGGGAAAATGAAAGGGAACGGGAAAACGAAAGGAGAAAACGAAAGGGAACGGGAAAACGAAAGGGAAAGGTGAAAACGAAAATTAGACATTTTGCCAAATTCAAAAATTAGTTTGGCCCGCAACACTCATGGCAATTTAAAGACATGCTACAAGCCAAGAATGCTTTTTATTATGGACTTTGTACTGTCCATTAGAAATACCCTTCTAAATAAAACGATTGGCCCATCAGAAATCAAAAAATTTTCATTTTTATAAATATACATTTTTTAAAAACAAAGAAATAACTTACATTATATTGTTGCTTATCGTTTTTCGGTGAATGACCGAAAAACGACTAGTCATTCACCGAAAAACGACTATAGTCATTAAGGTGTCTAATTTTGTTTTTATTTCGTTCCAAATATTTTAATAAGCAAATATTTGCTTCGTAACTCCAGAAGCAGCGCGATGATTTCCTGCCAAATTGTTTCTCTGAATATATATAGCCATTGGTGGACATCCACTCAGAGAAACAATTTGGCAGTATTAGTTCCAAAATTCTATATTTTTTTTCCATCTAATATAAGGTTGATTTTAATTTAAATGGTTTAAGAATATTAGAGTTTAAAGAATAAAGAACTCTGGAGAGGCGTATTATAAAAAGTATTATCATATTATTGAAATTTAATGATTTTAGAAATTAATTAGGGCGAAAATAATTTTATATTTGTATAATAATTTTTGTTTCAATTATATTTTTGATTTTTCGAATTTTGAATTTTTTGAGAAAAAATATCTTAGACTTTTTATAAGGCCTATTTACTATAACTATTTCAATAGATAAATACTTAGAATATTTCATCTATTATAGAGTATTATAGGATTACAACAATAACTTAACAATTTTATCATTGAATGAATTAATATGAAACAATTTTTCTCCTGTAAACATCTAATGAAATGATAAATTTGGTTAATAAAAAAGATAAGAAGAGATAAGGGAATGCGAAATAGTGTCATTATTATCAAAAAATTGCAGGTAATGTATCCAATTGTATTACGAATATTTTTTCATTTTTTTTCTTTTACATTCCGTGAATATCTTACCAAAGAAATTATTTTATCAAGATAGGACAATCAAAGTCATTAGAACCTATAATGGATTAAACTGCAATTAATGTATCACGAAGATTAAAGTTCGCGTTATTACTAATTTATGATTGAATATTTATTTTATTAATAAGAAGTAATAAATTATTAATTTTTTCTTTTTCATAAAATAAACCAATTAGGTACGTATTTTCCTTTTTTAATTGGGACGCTTAAGGTTTATTTACTAATCATGGGTGGGAATAAAAAAAAAATATCCTGTTTATTTATTTACATTTTTTATTTACGTTTTTGTGGCTGAAGATTGCATTGCGAATAAAATAATACTTAATAACTTCAATGAATAGGATAAATTTTGTTATATTTATTTAAAATCATATATGGATAAATTGATGTTTTATAAAACTAATCCTAATCTGGAAACATCGGCTGGATTTTTTTGGAATGATCTTCAATCACCGCAGTAGTGATCCAATCAATTCCATTTAGATGTTTCATTGTATAACATGATACTTGTTTCGTGACACAAAAAATTTCTTTAAAAGGCAATCGAAAGAGAACAAAAGAAATTTTTTTTTTTTTTTTTTTTTTTTTTTATCTTTTATCTTTTTTATCTTTTTTATTTTAATTTTATTTTATTTTATTTTTATTGGTAAACACGTTCTCGAATGACGGAAAACGCCAATTTTTGATAAAGATAAGGTAATGTTACAATTGTTACATGATTTACAGAATTCTTCTTAAAAAAAAAAAGAATCAAAGATCTTTCTCACGTAATGAATCAATTATTAATTAGAAAAAGTGATTGATAACAAAAAATTTGAATTGTACCAAAATAAGTAAAGTATGTTTTTTTTATTGTTTTACAATCTAGTAATATGATTTTTATTGGTAATATCATCCTTATCTTTTTTTTTTCAACTGACTTTAAAAAACTTTTGAATGGCCGATGTAAAAAAAAAAAAAAATTATGCATATTATATTTGATAATAAACCAAATTGAGTCTTAAAAAAAAACTTGTTTAAAAAGATATAAAAGATATGCAATTAAAGTATTACAGACTAATAAATTTAATAAATTTTTATTTATATTTATATTCGGAATTTGTACGGAAGGACTTATCAAAATTATATCAATAGTTTTTTTTAAAAAGGAAAGATTGTTGCAGAATTCGATTTATTCATTTTTACATGCATCATGACAATTAAACCATAATCAATATAAACAAATTAGACAAAGTAACAAGCACAAAAGAAAAAAAGAAAATTCCAATTTT